TTATATATTATTTATTATCGGATAGTATAATGCGTATCCGATATGTATTCTCAAATATCCGACGAGTATGGTATTCGATACGGGTACCTCGATCTTAACGAAATATCCACGCTTCAGTTTATCTCTACTGGCCTCTTCTCACTCCCATATTTCTCTCCCTCACCCTCGTCCTATCTCACTCCTTTAGGATCACGCACAAGTGTGGTTGTATGCACAACCCATTGGTTTAAATATATGGGCAAGCTCAACAAAGATAAATGAGAACCCATATACAAGAGGACGTTCAAAGTTTTAACCTTCAAAATCATTCATGACAAAAGAAACAAAGAGAGGAGTATACTCAAAAGGTTCAGTATTGAGAATTATCATGTAGACATCATATGCATATTGTATCTCAAGTATGATAAATTAGTAAATCTGAAGTTTCTCCCCACTATAACAGTCAAAGAAAAAAGAAAGGGAAAAATTAAGAGTCCCTGAAAAAAAAAATCAACTCGTAATAGCAATTGAACACACTTGAAACGAATCAAAAAACCGACTCAAGATGTATGCGCCATACCATATTGCATAAAATTAACAATATAAACAAATCGCATTCATGAACAATTCAAACGTCGTAAGCAAGAATCGGCGATTTGGTGTGTTCGAACGTGGAAGAGAGGGGCAAAAAAAATCAAGAGCAAATTCTAACATCGATGCAGTCATAACTACACTGATCAAACGGTAGAGAGTAGAAGAAGAGAATCAAATCACATAAATCAAGAAAATTAGGGGCCAAACCTTCTAGCATTCATGGCTCTTGATATCACAGTTTCTGGAGATCCCTTTCTGCTAATAGAAAATCTTACCGCAGTGTTCGAGCCCTAATTCTGTATCTGTATAACAACAACAACAAAAAACATAATAAAATATTGAAATCAAAAGAAAAGTGATGTTTAGTTTCATCACGGAACTCAAACTATATATGTATGGAATTGGGATGTTTGGAGCAAAAGAAAAGTTAAAGAAACCTGAGCAAAATCAGATCTGATGAGAAAATTAGGAATAGTTTGGAAGGAAGACTTGTACCGTTTGTTAAACAACAACACAGTAAAAGGAAGGGAAGCACCACGCCTGACAAGTATTGATCAATCTTATCAAACCCGGTCATGTACAGCGGTTCAACCCGACACTGGTAGCCCAGTGAGCCGGCCCGGTTTTTTGATATATCGAAAAATTCAGAGTTCTTCGTCAAAAATTTTTAATATCGAAAAATAATTTTTGGGAGCATGGTCTTATTCAATTATTCAATTTTTGAATTATATTTTTACATATATCTATCAAATAAAACACCTATTAAATTTTTATTTTTTGCATATTTTTTCATTCATTTCTATCGTATAACTCATTTTTATCACAAATTAAATAATTTAATTTTTAATTAATTGTGCCATTGTTCATGTACCATAAAATTACACATATTGATATTTGTAAAATAATGCGTAAAAATAATTTTCAAATCATATAATTAAAGAAAGAAAAGGAAAAACAATTACTATTTAATATAGTAATATTATTGTTTGGGCAATTTAGATTTTATATTATATTGTACTTTCAAGTACAAGTAATTGGTATATATATATACTAGGAATATCATGTGGCTAAAAGCACGGTACAACATAAATTAACCGATTAATTTAAACATTCAACATTCTAACTAATTTAAATATTCAATTTTTAAAAGAGATGTTAGTAGCCGTTGAATAGATTTATTTGAAATTGTCGGAAAAAGTTATTAAATTTGTCATGTTTCATTTGTGTAGAAGATATTAATTTTAAATTTTATTTTATTAAATGATTAATTGTGAATGCAGAAACCCAAACATCCCCTTATAAGTACGTGGCCACAACAAACTGTAAATGCTTGCGAGTTCAAAAGCAGCTATCAGCAACTCCGTAAGCATATATATCAACTAACATATGCCAAATACTGTTTGATAAAGCTGTGTGTGTTCCCATGGCAGAGCTGGAAAGGAAAGGGATATATGACTGTTCCTCACCATAGACATGTTCTAAGTAACACGAATAAGAAGTACAATCATGATGAAGATACATGTCATTACAAAGATCACAACCCATGTGAAGCACGTGGTCTTAAAACTCTGCGATAATAACTCCAAGCTATGCTCAACTGCCTTTTCTGTTGAATCAACTACCTGCACTCACAATAAACTAAATCGTCAGTTGATCGATGATTAGCCCATAAAAAATATGCACACATGAAATATTAACCCCTAGCTTAAGGGTTCAAGGCTGGTGTGGAGAGAGAGCAGAATACAATAGAACAAGAAGACAATGAAAAATGCTCCCACACATATGGATAGAATGGGTGGGGATGGTATTGAGATACCAATTTTTTACAGTACTAACAACACATTCAAGACACAAGTAATCTGGTGTTGGTGGCCTTTATGCAGCAATGGCTGCAGGGAAGGTTCCAGTGAACTGATGGTGGTCTTCCACTATCTTCAATTAGAAAATTTGGAAAGCTTAACATAGCAGTGACGTTCGGTGGGCATTGTAGTATGAAGCACCAAAAACCATGACTGATGGAAATTTCCATGCCACTATACCAGTCCCAGATCTATATACAAAAAAAAAAAACAAAAATGAATGAAATGCTTTCAAACCTCTTGGTTTCTCAAAGTGGTGCACCTACTAGCAAGAATAGAGTTCTTAACTCAGAAGCCATCGTATTCTTCTTGAATAAGTAAAATATAGCAAAATTCTTGCATTTTCTACTGTATCATGGCTATTGATGCCCAAACTACTGCAAGAATTTTAAAGATATGGCATGGAACACAACTGTCCAACCTACCTTCTCCAGCTTGTTAGAGTGACTTAACCATATACAAATAATATCCACTGCTCTCTCTCCTATATAACAAGATAGTTTGAGGCTTCAAGTTCTATACATTAAGTTAACTACCAGGGTATTTACTTTCACCGTGTTTTTGAGAGATTGACTCATCATTAGACTACTCTCTTTAAGTTGCCACACCAAACCAACCATTTCATTGGTCAAGGCTTCTTGAAGTTTTCTGTTCAAGTCAATAGAGAAGCAATAAGAAACTCACAACGCCACACTGAATCATTTGCAAATTGCAATAATAATTAATAACTGATACTCAATTTAGTTCATGCGTTAAGTTTGCATTCTTTCTACAACCTCAAGTCAAGCAGTTGCAATGATCAAGTTCAAAGATGGTTTTGTGCATACTAATTGGCCAACTGAACTTCTGACTGGGTGACCTGGTCATGTCCTTGAGTTGATATCAAACGTAAACACAGGACAGTAAGCCGCCAACTTATATATAAATTGTCAATGATTTTATAGAGAAAAGCCAAAGAGGAGGACCTCCAATGTACAGTCACTAAGTGATGAAGAACCAATATTACATCCACTATCCATCTCTAAAATAACCCACATTCTAAAGTTCTCTTTAAATTTTCACAAACATTTACCCATAAAACTGGATAAACTTGTCTTGACAAAGTTTCATAACATCATTTTTCTTCTTGAATTCAACTGCAGGTAAGTGTATCACTAAAACACAAAACAAATAAGTCTAGAAATGCAAATCCAACATTTGAAGAGGCTAAAATTATGCTAGCTATGAAGGCACTTAATTACAGATGGTGCTCTATCTCCTCAGTTTACTCCCATAAGAGAGGTAGGCAACGGCATCATGTGGGTTGGTTTGGGCGGGGGGAGGTGAAAAAGTGCAACCATAGGACAAAGAGCTCAAAAATCCAAATGACTATAGCCACTGGGCCCAGATACAGAACCACCAACAATTTCAGCACAAGGCCTATGTATGTACCAACACATGTAAGTAGTTCAGTGCACCCGGATCTGCATACAGGTATCAAGAACCCAAAAGGTTCTTTTATAAGCAGCAGCTTCCCACTGTTGTTATCATTCTCTTACTTTGTTCCAGTTACTAAAAATGCAAGTATGTGCCACCTACCTGTGCTTTCCAATGTGCACCTGTGCTGCAGCATCCAATTTGACAGGTGCTGATTGATCACCTTCAATTCGACAATTGATGGAGGTCTGTTTCACTCAAATTGCAGCAAAATATATAGCCAAGGCATATGACAAGCAGTACAATAAGTGAAGCATGCAACATAGGTTCACTTACACAAATCACCTCCTCAATCCAGGAGAGTGGTAAATACTTTTCCCTTCTGCTTTAGAAGGGCTTCTTCCACTGACAGATGTCCCAGCAAAGGGCTCCTGAAATACTTGCATATTAGACTGAACTTTCCAAGCAAAGAACTCAGTAGAAGAGCTATCTGCTATCCATATACTTGGTGGTACTTTTTATTTAGGAAGCAATAGGAAACTTTTATTGGGTTGGACTGTTCGATATTAATGGGAAAATGTAGAATGGGAGGCTTGAAGGCATGGAAAGGGGAAAAACTCCTGTCAACATAATTTCCGTCCGCCGTTTTATATTTATATTTCTACTGGAAACAACCAAAACATGCAAATTGTGAAATTCAAAAGAGTGAAGAGTATATGCACCGAAGGGACTGCTAGTATAGCAGCGGTCACTTCAATTTTCTCTGAATAATCATTCACCATAGCTTTTGAAACCCTGTATAAACAGCACAAAAGAAGAGATACAAATGTTACAAAATTATGCACCTTAGGAACTCTCAGATACCTTGACACATAAATATCATCAATAGACCGAAAGATTAAGACTAAATTAGCCTTAAACAGAATAGTTTAAATCATGCAATTGCATGCTTGTACCTTGGACAACACAACAGGCCAATAAATAACTCATCCAAATTTAGATACGAACAGAGCTGCCTATGCATTGCTACCACATAAGAAACCAGCTAAGACACAAAAATCTTGCTCAATACTCTAAGTAGCATATTCAGAATGGAGTATATATTCCAGACCACAACGCCCACAACACTGGTATCTACATAGTGAGTAGTCCTCATCACACTATTGAACTTTTAAATTGGTGTCACACCAAGAAAAGCATAAGCCAAACTCACTCATTTTGAAAAGGTCAAATGAACTACATGAGTCCATTTCTATCACTCAAAAAAGACCTCAGTCAAAGAACCCAATAGAATTTCAGCCTTATTGACATGGTATTTAGGTATTATTCCACAAAATCTATATATATGTACGCAAACATACTCCTACTGATCCCTAAAACAGTCCGAAGGAGAGGGTGAGTGCATCAATCTCATCTCTGATTCTTGATTGAAGCTGCATTCTCCCCAAAAACAAATTAAAATAAAACTTCACTAAAGAAAGATGTCTGTCAAGATCTTTCCAGTGACGATGAGAAGAATCTTCAATTTTTCTTTATTCCTCTTCAGAAGAAAAGACTAGGCTGACAAACTAAATCACAATGATTAAAATAAGCTCTCATCAAATCTCAAACAATTCATAAGGGCATTCAATATCTGCATCAACTGATAAATCCTTTGAACTAACTGTGAAACAGGCACAAAACCCAAAAAGAGTTGAATAAATCCCTAATTGCAGAGAACAGTTCCTGAAAGACCTGGGTAGCCCTTCTGGGGTTCTCTCTTCAGCCAGTTGGTCCAGTTGTTCTCGTAAAGTAGCAACATACTGTAAAACTAAACACAATCATAACAGAAAGAGAATGATATGAACTCCACACCCTAATAGTTTCCAAATAAAACATAGAAAAAATCACATGATACACAGAGTAAAACCAAGGCATCGTGGTTTATTGACTGTACAAATGAAAATGGTAAAATACCCAAAAAAAATTATCCTTAAAAAGCATATAAATATACCATTTTCGACCAGAGAGGAAGAGATACAGCATGGCCATTTTATCCAAACAACAATTTGACTTGAAAGATCAGAGACATACATGCATGAGCTTTGACTGATTTTGTTGGTGTGGAACAGCTTCAAGCAACCTCCTCAGGTTGATTTCAGTTCTTCTCAACCCCATCAAAATTCACTAAACGATTGAAGAGAATTTCACTCAGAAAAATAAATTAGATACTAAATAGCCACTAAACCCTTTCATAACCCAAACGATAAAGAATAATTTAAGATCTAAAATTGAACCATTCACTAGTATACTAATTAACAATTATGAGGACAAATGGTTGCCCAAATTAGCTTAATAACTAGTGGGAAATATCAATGTTTAGGGTTTTATCATTACCAATAAGAATCTTGAAATACCAGGATGAAGAATTCGGGTCTTTGGAGCAAAAGGAAAGCAAATTCAGGGAACTTCCAGCAAAATTAGCACACAAAAAAATAATAATAATATTGGAAAAAAGAAAATTCAGATCTGAAAGAGAAAATAAAATGATAAATTAGAGATAAGACTTGATGGTACCTCTCCGGGGAAGGTAGTTGCAGTAACCGATAGGAGGATTCGAATAGGTTGGTCAAAATTCGATTAATTGATACGAATTGGTACGTATTAAGAAAGTTTGAGTAAGATTTTAACGGGTTTAGATAATAAACGGATTAATACGTCAAACACGTTTAATAAACGGGTCGTGTTAGGGTGAGACCTGTCAAACTATTTATCTTACGTTTATCCGTTTAAATAAAATTAATATAATAATAAATTAATAATTATTTTAAAAAATTAGTAAGAAAAAAAAAGTAAATAAATTAATTAAAAAAAAAATAAAGTAGTAGTTTAAAGACAAAAGAAATGAGATGAGGAGCACTTCAAAAATAAAGGCAAACCAATGTCTTTTGTTTTTATTTCAGATTGGAAAATGAGGAGAGATGGGGAGAGTTGAGTTGCCTATAAAAAATAATGACCTTTTTTTTTTTTGTTTAAACCTTCAAGTCTTATTTTTATGAGATTTGGTTAAAAATTTCTCTTTTTTGAGGGAAGTGCAATTGGCAATAAAAAAAGTAGAGTATTAAAATTTATTAATATAATTTTTTTAAAATTAAACGGATTAAATAAGTCGTGTCGTGTTATCCGTTTATTAAATGGGTCGTATTCGTGTTGAGATTTTTTACCAATTTATTAAATATGTCGTGTATGAGTTTATATATTTTCTACTTGTCACCCGCTTAACCCGACACGTTTGACATCTCTAGATTCAGGCACCATCAATTTTTATTTTCACTTAATTATTTATTATTCAGTCAATTCTTATAGTTTTTTTTAACTAGATTTTTTATTTAGACTCTCTCTATATTTATTATTTAGAAAATCAAATTCACTCTGTAATCTATTTTTTTTAACAGAAAAATATTATATTTGTCTTTTCACCTAAGATATTTAAGATAAATATATCTCATTTAAAAAATTAATTATTCCTCGTACCTGAAGGCACGAAGTAATAAAAAAAAGTCTAACATATTTGTATTCACACTCAAAATCAAATCACAAACATAAAAGAGAGATAAAGAAACTTAAACATCGATTATAGTGGAAGTGAGTGGTGGTAGTAGTGGTGAATGATAGTGGTGATTGTGGGAGACGGTGATGGTTGTGGTGGGTAAAGCGACTACAATGATGGTAGTAACAATCGTGGGTGGCAATGATGATGGTGGTGGTGGTGGTTTTGAGTAACGATGATGATAGAAACAGTCATGAGTGATAACGGTAGTAGTGGTAGGTGTGGGTAGTGGTGGATGACGGTGATGCTGGTGATGGGATGATGACATTGGTGGTGGGCGGTGATGATAATTGTGGTGGGTGACGATGGGGTACTTCTAGGTGACAGTGTGATGGGTGGTGCGATAGTGGTAAGTGTGGTAGGGGTAGCTAATAATGGGTGGCTGTAATAGTGGGCTATGACAAGTGGTGGCGGTTGGTGGTGGTAGGTGTGGTGGGGTAGGTGACAGTGACTAGTGGTGATGATAGACGACGATGGGTGATGGTGGGTACTGACGATGGGGCGATGGTGGTAGTGGGATGATGGTGGTAATGGTAATAAATATAAGAATAAGATGACGATAATAACAATCGGTGGTGGGTGTCGATGATGGTGATGGTGGTAGTAGGGCAATGACGATGGGGTAGGGGGTGGAGGTGGGGCAGTGGCAATGGTGGCAATAGTTATGATGGTCATGGGGGTGGTGGGGTGATAGTGGGACAGTAACAGTGGTGGTAAGGTGCGACATCGGTGGTGATGATGGTAGGGTGCGACAACGGTGGTGGTGGTGGTGGTGGGGTGGTGAAAGTGTTGGTGGGACAGTGGTGGTAATGGTAATGATGATGGTGGGGTGGTGGGGGTAGTGGTGGGTGGCAGTGGTAGTGGTTATGGTGGTGGTGGGGCAATGAAAATGGTGGTAGTGGTAAGATTGTGGCAACGGCGATGACGGTAGTGGTGATGGTGGGCAACGAAAGTGGTGCTGGCGGTGGCAGTGGCAGCGGCAACAACGGTGGCGGTGGTGGTGGGTATGGTAGGGTGGCAATAATTATGGCGGCGACGGCAATGGTGGTGGGTGGGTGGTGAGTGTGGGGGCAATGGTGATGGTAGTGGTGGCAGCATTGATGGTGGTGGTGGTGGTAGTGGTGGAGCGGTGGGGTGGGGGTGGTAGAGATAGTAGTGGGGCAATTTCAAACACTATTTTTTTTATAAAAAAAAGTCTTTACGAGAAATAACTTCTAGAAAGTATTTTTAAAAAGTCACTCTAAACACACCCTTAGGGACCTATTTTTTCTATTAAATTTGGGGTGTTAATATTGATCATTAAATTAACTTTAAAATAAAATTTAAAGCGATTTTAATCTTGAATAGTAAAAGTCATTTTGTTTATCTTTGGAGATTTGAATTATATTGTACTTTATTATATAGATAGAAAAAAATATAAGAAAAGTCAAATTTATTGTCAAAAAAATAAAACAAAAAATAACGAAATGTTAAGAATAGAAAGTGTTATTAGAGTGGTGTGTAAAAATTCACTCTCTATTATAACATTTTATTAAACATGCTCTCTATTTTAGAAAACATGCTCCCCAGAAATGAAATCATTAGTTAATTGAAGAATAGCCAATTAACTGGATCATAAAGTTGTCAGTCGACGAGATCTATCCTCCGATCTTATGATTAAATGTTCATCCTCATAAGGAAAGCCAAGGTTATTCATTTACATCTTTAGTTAAAGGAATTCAAGTTGATCAAGAATGACCTCAATAAAAGGTGTCTAGGTCATCCCCACTAAGTCACAAGGAGAATTAACATTTTTAACTCAAGACAAATGTATGGACCGAGTTTCAGTACTCACGGACTGGCTAAAAGATCAGGAGAGCGTCCCAAAGCAAAACAACCTCACAGCAAAACTCTTTTAGAGATATGAAGGACCACAATACATCCAAGCTTAAACACAGGTCACAAAGGTCACTTCAGCATGTTTTAAAAGACCGTGTCATATCTAGGGAATGTAGTCACTAACTGCTCAATATTTCCTCAACCAAATTCTAATAAATTTAGAGATCGTGTGATGATGATATATGGATCATCTCACTTGTGGTTATAAATACAAAAGCTTTTTCCATGTAATGGCATAAAAACCAATTGTAACCTTATCTTCTTCTCCAAGCAATAAAAAACTTTCGAGCAGCAAGAGACTACATTAAAGTGAACTAATCAAGCTTTCTAGCTTATGAATCACTGTAATTTGTGTTGTTTCCCAGCTCTTACCTATATTTTACGATTATTGTTGTATTTTCTAGAGCCACCAGGCTCAGTCATAGGTCAACTCCATCATCACTGTTCATTCATATATCACTGCTCATAAGTCTTAATTTCTTCAATTCAAGCACTCACTTCACGTTTCGAGTTTATACATTATCACTCTCTAAAATAGAGAGCATTGTTGAAGATGTTCTTAGTAGGAGAGTTCTCCCAAAAGTGGTGGACAAGTCATCAAGGCCCCATTGGCTAGCTTTAAACCCTAGTTTTTGGTTGGGTTTGTGGGTCATGTATATAGGAGTGAATAACACTTTTAACCCTGATTTTTTTTAAAAAAATATTTAGTTTATACCCTAAAAGAGTAAAACTCTCTCATTATATCCTTTAATCATTAAATCATATAAAACTGGACTAATGTGGTCCAAAATTAAAACGTTCGTTAATTTTTTTGTTTATACTTTTTTATTTATGGATATAATTAGTTGTACATTACTCAATTATTTTTTTGTTTATAAAATTTTTAATTTTTTGCATGATTGAGGATGTAACGTAAAATTCTAATTTTTAAGGTATAAATTAATTGATTAAAGATATTTTGAGGTTAACAATGTCATTCGCTCCATGTATCTTTATGGTTCTATTTTTTTTTTATCTGGATAATTATCATTCACAAGTATATTTTCAATGAATCTCATCTATTATCTAAAATATCATTGTTTGTTTGTTTGTTTGTTTTTAATATTATATTTTCTATATGATGTTATAAATTGAGAGGTGTTGGGTTGGGTTGGGTGATCCTATTTGATTGACACTTTTTTTAATTTATATTTAAATATCACTCGACACCCCTTGTCATTAAATGATCCATTTTTTTAAAAAAATATCTAAAATACCAAAATTGCTCCTACGGTCCTACATTAACCTAACAACCTTTCTACATAAAATTGGTTAAAATTTGAGTCGATTAAAATTTATTTTTTTACATATTAAAATTTGAGCCAGTTAAAATTTGTTTTCATATATATTAAAATTTGAATTGATTAAATTTTATCTTATTATGTATTAAAATTTATTTTTTTACATATTAAAATTTGAGTCGATTCAAGCTCAACTTGAGAGATTAACGCCTATTAAAATTTGATTCGAGTTGATTAAAATTTATATTTTTTTACTTATTAAAATTTGGATCAATTAAAATTTGATTCAAACTAATTAAAATTTATTTTTTACGTATTAAAATTTGAGTTGATTAAAATTTATATTTTTTATGTATTAAAATTCGGGTCATTTAAAATTCAATTTGACTTGATTAAAATTTGATTTTAGC